CATAATGTCCTCCAGGCTCACCCATTTTGAATAATATTGAATGAGTTCCTTGTTTTTCAATGCAGCATAGTATTCCATTGTGTGAATATACCACAGCTTCTCTACCCATTCGTTTGTTGATGGGCCATTGCATTTATTTTAACTGGTGATGTGGAACAGAATGTAAATGAATGACTGGTATGGGATGGGGGCAGATTCCCTAACAATATGCTTTGTAAACTTTCACTCAAGGCCTGTGAAGACTATCACCCTAAAATACCTTTTGAATATGGTGCTGAAGCCGTTCTCAGAGGTCACCTTTCATCTGAATACAGACAGCTTAAAAATAACATTTTTACTGTGCTCCCATAGACAATCAACCACAAGTAACCAATTTCATGGAACAATCTGGGTTATACCTTGACATCAAGAATACAAAAATCCTCACCACTGGACCAACAGGCATCCTCAAGGACCTTTGATTCTTTTTAAGTATTATTAAAATACTTTATCAAAACAGTAAAAAGACTACCTATGGACTAGGAAACCATCTTTGGGAACCACATATCCAACAATGTTCTAACCTTTAAAATATGTAGAAAACTTCAACAACTCAACAAGGACGAGCCAATTTTAAAAGCTATTAACTATGCAAACCAATATAAAATAAAAATGTAAAAAGAAAAAAGCTATTAACTGACACTTCACCAAAGACAACATTCATGTGGCCTATAAACATATAAAAAATGTTCTTGAGCATTAGAGAAAGAGAAATTAAAACTATAATAACTATAATGAGATACTCTATCACTCCTGCTAAAAAGGCAGAAAGCTACAACTTCTTGTGAGGATGTGGGGAGACTGCAACTCTCAGTCACTACTGGTAGGACCGTAAAATGGTACAACCACTACAGAAAATGCTATGGCACTTCCTCAAAAACCTGCAAACAGAAATACCGTATGATCCAGCAACTGTACTCCAAGGTTTATAACCCAGATAGCTCACAGGAGACACAACAGCCATATGCACAGCCATGTTCAATATAGCACTGTTCACAATAGCTAAAAGATGGAAACAACTTAAATGCCCATCAGTGGATGAACAGATAAACAAAATATGGTACATAAGTATACCAGACCACCACGTGGCCATAAATAATAATAATAATACAACATTCTCAAAATATTATAACAGATTAATCTGGAGGATATTATGCTGAATAAATAATCACAAAAGGACAGGTATTGTGTAACTGCACTTTTAGAAGAATATACAAAATCAACATTCAGGTATGGGAGTGAAAAGGGGGACTTACTAGCTACATAGTACTTGTTATTTTTGGTTTTGGGAAATGTAGTACCAAAAATGAGTGAACTGTGCTTTTACTAAGGTAAATGATCCCACTAAAAAAATATAAAAGGGAAAAGGACATTTTTGGTAAAGACTAAGACATAACATTTTGCAGCACAACCTTCCCAAAAAAAACTGTGGTTACACATGTATGTGCAGGTATGTTGTTGTTCTGTGCTGCCAAGTCAGAACCAACCCATAGCTAACCCTCCAGTGAGTTTTGAAAAGCAGTAAATTGCACGAGATTGCACACCCTTTTCTCGGCTGGTGGATTTGAACCCATGCCGTTGGGATTGTAGCACAACTGGTAACAACTAGGCCACCAGAGCTCTGTGTGTGTGTGTGTGTGTATACACACAAGTGTGCATATGCATACACCTATAGATGTATCTATAGATCCACGTCTATAGATATATCATTAGTCTATATATACATGATTCAAACGATGGTCTTTTCAATCATTTGCTATACATCTAAAAGCGGGACAATGAATATGGATGAAAGAAGGAAAATTGATGCCTTTGTGCATCAATTTTGTGTGTGTGTGTTGTTGGAGAAAAGTACTGAATGTCCTACGCACTGCCCAAAGAACAAACAAATATGTCTTGGAGAAAGTGCAGCCAGAATGCTCCTTGGACATTTTCCTTTGACAAAGCTTTGTCTCACAATCTGGGGACATTGTTAGGAGAGGCTATTCCTTAGAACGGGACATCATGCTTGGAAAGATGGAGGGTAGGTCAAAAAAGAAAGAGAGGAAGACCTTCAACTAGATGGACCGACACTGTGACTGCAGCAATGGGCTCAAGTATGTCAGAGATGAGGAGGATGGCACAAGATAGGACAGGGTTCAAATCTGCTGTTCATAGGGTCACTATGAGTTGTATTTGACTCAATGACAAACAACTACATAGATACAAATGTGTGTGCATTAATATATATTCAAACACATAATAAATCATATAGAGGTATTGTTATGGTTACTTTCTGAGTCTGAAGTCTTAGGACTATAGCCTCCTGGGACAACTCAGTCAAATTGCATAATATAGTTCATAGCTTTGGCTCTACACGTTAATTTGGTAAACAGTATCTGGGGTCTTAAAAGCTTCTAAGCAGTCACCTAAAATACAACTAACTATTGGTCTCAAGGACAAATATGGCATGATGCCACTGTTATAGAATGGGACTAACCTCGGGGTTGGGGAGAGACTGAGTAAGATGGGTTCAATAATGTACACTTGCACTGAAACAGAGGAGGGAGAAAACTGTTTAAAAGAGATATGTGACTAGGTACTTCTGTCATGACAGGAGTCTAGAGCGATGGCTACATGGTGGAGGGGACCTGGGGGAGGGTTTGTAAAACAATGAAAGAATCTTTTCTTTTACTTTTCCATAATTTTTGACTCATGTACTT